ATTTTTACGAACAACTAGTAACACCGTGAACTTAATATATAACATTTAGAGATTCTGAAGTTTTTTGTTTGATGGCTGAGCCCGATGATTTTGTTTTTGTAATCAATTAGTAACATCTGAAGGTTAACATATTTCATTCAGAGATTCTGAAGTTTTTGGCTTAGGTGGCTGTGCTCGATGAGTTTTATACTAACTCCTCACAGTCAACCTGCACCTTATTTTCTTTATTGAGGTCAAATAAATTATTTCGTTTCGTTTCGTATGTATGTATGTATGTATGTATGTATGTGTGTGTGTGTGCGTGTGTGTAAATGTAAGTGTATGTATGTGTTTTTACTGACATAATTTTAGTTTATAAATCAAAATTTATATTTGTAAGGAACTTTTCTTCTGCAAATATTAAGCCCTAAAAGTACACTGAATGGTTTCATGGACTTGTGAGGTTTCACCAATTCATAATCTTACAAAAAGAATTACTTTATGTTATTTTTATTTTTCGAGGTTTGCTCATATGAACAAATTTATTTGGAGTGGAGTGTTGGTATGTGAGCGTGGGAATTTATGTTTTATTTGGTAAGAAACTTTTAATTGAATTTTTTTAACTTTTTAACTTTTTTTAGACGTTTTTTGTACAGTAAAATGAGTTTTTCATGCTAATGTTATCTTTTATGCTCAATTATTTGTATGCGTGCGAGTGCGTGTGTGTGTGCCTACCTGGTGGTGTGAAATAGAAGTTATTGTTAACGCTTCATTTAAATTGATTAACTATAAAACTTTTTAATCAAAATACTTTCTTTAGGACAAAATTAAATTATTTAATTAATTTTTTTTTCTCCCGATGGACTCAGCGAATGAGGGTGGTTCCCGTCAGCCGTGCAGCATATACACTAGGATGTAGTTGGAAATGAAATAGAAAAAAGTTCAAAAAGCAAACGATTGTTACAAAAAATGAAATGAGATTTTTTAAATTAAGAAGATGTAAAATGTTTGAAAAGGAAGGAAAAGTTATTTTGCAGAGAAAAAAGTGAGAGAAAAAAGTGAGAGAAAGAAAGAGACAGAGAGAGAGAGAGAGAGAGAGAGAGAGAGAGAGAGAGAGAGAAAGAGAGAGAGAAAGAGAAGGAGAAAGAGAAAGAAGGAAACAGACAGACAGGAGTAAAAAACAGACAGAAAAACAGACAGACAGATAGAAAACGCGAAAAAATGGAAGAGAGTAAAAGAGAAAGGGAGAGAGAGAGAGAGAAACATGTGAAAAAAGAACAAGATGAAAGGAAAGCCAAAGTGTTAAAAAGGAGACAACAAAACAAAAGAAAAATATGATTATGAAGAGGAAGACAGGAAGTAGGAAGAATGGACTGCAAAAAAAATAACAGATAGTAAGAAGAAGAAGAAATGATGAACGAAAGATAGTAAGAAAAATGAAAGATGAATGAGAGAAGGGAAAAAAAGAGGAGCCACGTGTAATCTGAGATTAATAGGAATGCGACGAGTTGTTTAATCGGAATGTTTTTCTCTGTGCTGCTGTGCTCTTCTGGGGAGATATTGAAGCTGAGGGGATGATGATGATGATGACGATGATGATAATGTTGTTGATGATGATGACGATTATGATGTTGATGATGATGATTCCGGTGTTGTTGATGACGATGACGTTGATGAAGATAAGAATGACGATTATGATGTTGATGATGATGATGTTGATGATGATGAAGATGTAGAAGAAGAAAAAAAATAAAAAATAATAATTAATAAATTGGCGAAAAGTTACTTCGTATCGTTTCAATTTAAATATCTTTGGTTCCTAATTTTAGATTAAGTAAGAATAAAATTTTTTGGTGCAAATTCATTTAATAAAAATGATTGCAGATGAAAGGTTTCATGTTCGTCATCATCATCATCGTCATCATCATCTTCTTCATCATATCAACCTCATCATCATCATCATCGTCATCGTCATCATCATCTTCTTCATCATATCAACCTCATCATCATCATCGTCATCATCATCTTCTTCATCATATCAACCTCATCATCATCATCATCGTCATCGTCATCTTCTTCTTCATCATAACAACCTCATAGTCATTAACATCATCATCTTTAATGATAATAATAGTGTTTCAAAGTTAGCCAAAACCAATATCGTCTAACCACTATAACCTTATTTAGAATCATCTCCATCATTACAAACATTCTTATCACATCATTATCATCGTTATCGTCGTTATCACATCTTCACCATCACCACCATCGTCACCATCGTCGTCATCATCATCATTTTTATTAACATCATCATCAGTCCCCCATCATCAATTCTAAAACACGATGACGTCATTTCTTTCACTGAGAGATTTAGACTACACTTCTGACGTATTTCCATTTTGCCATGAAGCCATAGCCTCGCTGCAGTTTCACGTACCTTAGATCGACATCTTCGTCGATTTTGTAATGGCCGAGTTTGTCGGTGACGAATAAAACTTTGGCCCAAGCCGGTATACCTATGCTTATTTTTATCTTCGTCAGATCCTCTTCCTTTGTCATGTTAGCGCCAAAGTTTAGAACAACTATGATTCTGTTTAGTTAGATGGTTGGTTGGTTGATTGGTTGGTTGGATGGTTGATTGATTGAATGGTTGGTTGGATGTTTGGCTGGTTGGTTGGTTGGATGTTTGGCTGGTTGATTGGTTGGATGGTTGGTTGGATGGTTGGTCGGTTGGTTGGTTGGTCGGTTGGTTGGATGTTTGGTTGGTTGGATGGTTGTTTGTTTGTTTGGATGGTTGGTTGCTTGAATGATAATAGTATTATTATTAATTTGGATTGAATGAATAAAATTTGATTTGATTTGATTATTATGATTTTAAATCGCTATTGTTCACGTTATGATCAGCATCACCGGATTCAACATCCCCATCGTCACCACAACTACTAACCTATCATGCCCTTCGATTTCTCTCACGTAAACAAGCAAATTTTTGTCAAGAACAGTCATTTCGTTGTTGTTGTTGTTGTTGTTGTTGTTGTTGTTAGCGTTAATGTTAGTGTTTTCAGTTTCAGCCAAGTGCAACACACCATTTCTTAAGGACTTGTGTTCCTTTATTAACTTGGTGATGTTTTTGATCATGTACCACGTGCTTTCAAAATTGGCTTTTTGATTCTGTGAAAGTGGTTGGTTGGTTGGTCGGTTGGTTGGCTGGTTGGTTGGTTGGTTGGTTGGTTGGTCGGTTGGTTGGTTGGTTGGTTGGTCGGTTGGTTGGTTGCTTAGTTGGTTGGTTGGTAAGTTGATAAGTTGATTAGTTGATTGATGGTTAGTTGGTTGATTGGTTTGCTGGTTTGTTAGTTGGTTGTGAAGTTGATTTTTGATTCATTTTGTGGTTGATTGATCAAAAAACAACTACATCATGGGGTATAATAATAACCATAACAACATCCACCCACATCACAGGCAAATACGCTCAAATTTATTATTAATTCACCGACAAGAAACACGTGTAAAAAATTACATAACCAAAATAATCATTATAAATTCAAACTTGAAGGTTCAGTGAATTTGATTGCGAATTAATTTCCAACCAAGGCTTGCAGGTCTCATTACAAAAGCCGGCGTTGGCTGTATCGTTTGTCCAGTACATTGGCTGACGATGACCGTATCTGGATTGGTTCTTTTCAAATGTTGGATTGATCGATTGGTTGTTTGATTAATTGATTGATTGATTGATTAAGATTAATTGATTGAATGATTAAGATTGATTGATTGAATGATTAATATATACAGTACAATACAAATGATGTATAGTTTCTACAAATGTATCTACTCTACATAATCGCAACTAAATTTTATTAAAGCATTTTACGTACCCTTTGTGGGGTTATATCATAGACAGGATCTTTTTTTAAATTTGCATCATTGTAGTCATCGCTCATTTCAATTTCTTCGCCGTAGTAAAACATGACCGCACCGGGCAGAGTTAGTTTAAGAAGCATGGTCACTTTGTAAAAATCCTGACCGACCACATCCATAATGCGTTTTTTGTCTTGGTCACCTGTCTGTGTGTGTGTGCGTGTGTGTGTGTGTGTGTGTGTGTGTGTGGTCATAGCTGCGTGTGTGTGTGCGTGTGTGATGAGATCATGATGACTATGTTTGATGATGATGATGAAGATGATGATTATGAGATAATTTAGAGGAAAAATCCAAGCGTACACTCCAAAGCGGTGTGGAATCTGACGGTCTTTTGTCATTGTAATCCTGTTGACAAACAAAAATAATAATAATAATAATAACAACAATAATAATAATAATGAATGAATGAATGAAAACTCTGTATAAATGCTATACATGTACTAGATTATATCCGCACCGAATAGTGAATTTGGACGAATAGATCGGATATCAAATTTTGATCAAACGCTCTCTAAGATGTATTCACTATCTGATATACATGTATTTAATATCTACGTTATAATCCCCATTATCATAATTTTTATCATCGTCATCGTTATAATCATCATGGTTAATTAATATTAACACCTTTAAAACTTGGTTGATGTTAACACCAGGTAGGTTGGTGTAGAGGTGGTAGCTTATTGGAAGGTGAGCCACAGAGTGTCCGTTGTGGCTGTAGTAATCGTAGAAATAGTCGGTGTTCGAGTCACCGTCAGTAAGAAGAATTCTGATGGCGGAAGTTTCAATGATGGTGGTGGTGATATTTATGGTGATTTTGATGATGATGATGATGATGATGATGATGACGACGATGATGGTGATGATACTTATGGTGATTATAATGATGATGACGACGATGGCAATGATGATGATGATGATTTGGATGTGATGATGATGATAACAATGACAGTACGTACGGTGCCTCTCTTCCGTCTGGATATTTCTTGTAATTTTTCAACATATCCTTCCATCTGGCGATCAGCTCGAAAGTTTCAGACTGTCCTCTCGTCTGTCTGAAATCCTGTATTGATTATTGTCATTATTATTATAATAATTATAATTATTTACATATTATTATTATTATTATTATTGTTGTTGTTGTTGCTGTTGTTGTTACTAACTCCAGGTGAATTATCAATCTGGTCGGAGTTTTCGAAAAGGAAATCCGAATTAGCGATTTTGAATCCGTCGACATCTTTATCCGTCCAGAACTTTAAATATTTCTGAAAAATGAGAATTATGTGTATTCGTGTGTGTGCGTGTGTGCGCGTGCCTGTGCGTGTAGTTGTACATGTGCGTATACGTGTTTACTGTTTAGTGTACGTGTATGCTGTGCATTTCAATTATGCGCGTGTACACTGTGACTAACTCACCTCCATTTCACCCTGTATGAACCTGCTTCTGAGGTTCAGCTCCGGTTGAGTTTTCAAGAACTGATGTAGGTAGTATGTGTTATTGCTCCGAGCGTTTGTGCTATCTAATTGTTTCCAAGAACCGCCTTCTTCCTCATACACTGTCGTCTTATGGCAGTGTCGTTTTAACGATGTTTTGTATTTTAGGAATTTTATTCAATTATTTGTATTATACTAAACACACGCATACACGCACGCACGCACGCACACACATATATATACCGAATTTATGCTCAGTTAATGAAACTGTTGTAGGCAGAAGACACACAATAATACACACACATACACAGACACACACACACATACATACATAGCTATTTTATATATACACATATATACCCAACAAATACACATATATACCCAATTATTAAGCCTGTTGTGAACTGTAGATACAAAATGATTCCAGCTGGAGGTAGGATTGGTTGGCGGGTTTTCAAAATACTTTTTGAACTCCTCAAACCAAGGATGTTTGTCTCCAACGTGATTCGGTACAAACTCAATTATCAATTTCATCCCTATTAAAGATTGGGAATATGAGTTTTAATTATTAATTTAATTATTTTTTTTGTCCCGTTTTTGTGAAAAATATTATTTAAAATTTAGTTTCATTCAAGGTGGATATTAAAGATTGAATGGTCGTTTTACCGTTCCTGTGCGTAGCGTTCACTAATGATTCGAAATCATCCATCGTACCTTGGTGGAAAAAAATTGAATTGATCAATCAACCAATTAATTAATCAGTCAGTCAGTCAGTCAGTCAGCCACTCAGTCAGTCAGTCAGTCAGCCAGCCAGTCAATCAGTCATTCAGTCAGTAACCCACCAATGCTATCATCAATTTGTTCGTAATCAACGATCTCGTAACCATAATCTTTTTTTGAGGAACTTGAATCTGATTTTAATATAGAATTTAGCACGATCACACTCACACCTAGCTCTTTTAACTCTGGCAGTTTCATCTCAATTCCTAGAAAAAATTAAAATAAAGATGTTATAAATTACGCTTTAAAGTAATTTATCTCAAATATATGTTATTACTTTTTAAACAACAACAGCTGTTGCATGTACACATCATTCAAAACCAAATAACACCAACATCAACTACAACATCAACCACGACAACACCAAAAACAACAACAACAACAAACAACAACAACAACAAAACATAACAACAACAAACAACAAAACACACCAACAACAACAAGAAGCAGCAACCTTTTAAATCACCAAATCGTTCATTTCCTTTGTTCTCCTGGGAATAGAAGCTCCTAACGTGAATTTGGTAGAACACACCATCTTGCCACCACTTTGGCTCAGTTAAGGATTGACAACGCGGTGAAATAATCGTCAGTACAACAACCGTCACTAGGAATGCCAACCATATCAGCCAGAAGATTATCTGATAACGATAACGTCAACAAAGGGGACGAAATGATGATAAGGTTAATGATGGAAAAAAAAAGATGATGATCCGGAGATTGAAAAAAAAAAATGGGGTTCTAAAGCGGAAGAGGAAAAAGATTATGATCCCAAAGATAAAAGAAAATGGCATGATCCGGAGAGGAAGAGGAAAAAGATGACGATGATGACTCGGAGAAAAAAAATTGTGACAATAATAATGATGATGATGGCGATGACGATGACGACAATGATGAGGAGGATGATGATGACGACAAGAAGATAATACTCTCAATCACTCACAAAATTTATTGTGTTCCTGAGGCTACAACCTTGACAGCGCTGTTTTTAAAATCCGCGTTAAACCGCTAAATGGAAACATATCATTCACTCACTCAAAATTAAAGGAGATAGAATAATAAAGAGAGAAAAGGAGAAAAAGAGAGAAAAAGGAAGAGAGAAGAGATATAGACAAAGAGAGAAATAGAAAGAAAGTGGATTAAGTCTAGACAAACAAACACACTAGATAACTTTTTAAAATTTTTCTCATTTTCTTTTACATTCATTCGTTCGTTTGTTCGTTCGTTCATTTATTCATACATTTATTCATTCAATCATTCACTCATTCGTTTGTTCGTCCGCGGAAAAATTAACACTAAACAACAAAATGGAAGAGGCAAAGATTGAGCGCAAACTAACTATGCTAGCAACTCTTAGTGAGGTCCAGAACGACGTGTTTGATAGCTTCACCACATCTTCCTTACTCATGTTCGGGTAAGGCTTCACCACATCTGATGAAACTGAAGTACCATCTTCCGACATCTTTATGTTTGTCAGTGGAGGGACTTCCTTGCTGTCCTCCATTATGTGTATTTCTACACTCTGTGTGTGTTTGTTTGTGTGTGTATGTATGTGTGTTTGTGTGTATGTGAGTGTGTATGTTTGTGTATCTGCTTGTGTGTGTGTGTGTGTGTGTGTGTGTGTGGTGTGTGTGTGTGTGTGTGTGTGTGATTATAGTTTTTCTCGATTTATTTTAAAACCTTTATATATTTTTTAATGAAAAATTTGGAAAAACTCATCCCAAAATATAATCGTAGAAGATTAAAATCTAGTAATTGTTTCTACACATTTGAAAAAAAGGAAGGTGGCGTGGCGTTAATGAATTTAAACCTATTGTTAAGCGCTTTTGTGAAGTTTATAATTAAGAAGCGCTATAAAAAGATCTTCATAATAATAATAATAATAACAATGATGTAAATAACAATATTAATGTCGAAATTACGTGAAAAAAATCTGAAAAAAAATTACTTTTTCCTTCTTCTCAATCTCAATTCTTTTTTCAGGTAGTTGGGCTGTCTTCAAGTTTTCAGCGTAGTACCCAGATGTCTCATTTAGCTGCTGCTGCTGCTGTGGTTGTGGCTGTCGTGGCTTTTGTGGTTGTTGTGGTTCGCAACCGAAGGAAGTGACATTGTAGCCATCTTCGATGTCATCATCATTTGTGTAGTAGCTCTTATTCTCCATAGCTTATGGCTGTATAACTTTAGTTTTTATCAATAAAAATTAATATTTTCCTTTAAATTTACCAAAAATTGCATATTTTTATTAATAATAATATTACTATTAATTAATAATAATATTATTATTATTAAAAATAATTAATTTATATTTTAATAGTAATTAAAACGACGTAACTTCATTACGAACCTGAGATTTCGAATACATAGAATTGGTTTCAATGACTTATTTATACAGCGTTGAATTGCATATATGTGATCTAGATGAATGAACAGCCATATACGTTTATCTATGAGGATTTATGAATATGTTTGCATGTATGTGTGTTTTTGCGTGTGCGTGCGTGTGTGTGTGTGTGTGCGTAAAAAATATACGATTTAAAGATTTAAAAAATGTTGAGCGTATAAATATTTATTATGATTAAATGTAAGTATGTACGTTTGCATGTAAATACACGAAATTGGTTTGTTTGCCTAGCTTAAGTGTAAGATAATTTGTGTGTGTGTGTGTGTGCGTGCGTATGTGTGTGTTTGTGTGTGAGATTGTGAAATAGATAGCGAAGGAGAAAGAGAGAGAAAAAAAGAGAATGTTTGAGTTTGTAAGTGTGTGTGTGCATTAGAAATGGCATTAATTAGAGATAAATAAATAATTTTCGTAGCTTTCAATAATCTAAGAAGTGTCATCCTTGATCTTTGTATCCTCGATGTATCTTCATTTCGACAAGAGACACAATTTCAATTTTATTTTTTCAAAGTTCGGTGATGAAGTTTTATCGTCATCATCATCATCAATATCATCATCATCATCATCGTCATCATCGTCATCATCATCGTCGTCGTCGTCATCATCGTCATAATCATTTTAATTATCATTATCAGAAGAAACGTCAACAACGTTCTCATCGTCATCATCATCTCGCCGTCATCATCATCATCATCTGATGATGATCATCATCATCATTTACTTCATCATAATGTTATATTCAAAATTCCTCAAACTCACAATTTATTATCAGCTGTTTATCTAATCAGAGAATTTATTTCTCATTGTTGATTGTTCGCGAGTCTGATAAGAACAACGACATCAACAATAAACATCAACATCAACAATAATAATATTGAAAAATTGCTAATAAAGTAAGTTGAAAATATTCAAAATCATGGAAAGCAAATTCAACATCTCAGTCCTACTGGAGGCAACTGTCTAACTCAACCATTTCTGAATAAAATTAAAGTACTATTTCCGCCAACTATTCCACAACACATATACATACAAACTACATCCTCTGTCATTGTAATGTTTGTTCCATGATCTACCTTTCCTCTCTTTCTCTTTTTAACTTCGTAATTGTAGAACTTGGTGGGGTTATTTGAACGTATTGAGCATGGGTGAGTTAATTTAGTTGGCATACTTTGAAGAATAATAATAAAAAATTTAATATTTTCTGTACATGAATAATAAAAAAGATAGTTAATATTTAAGCAGGCATACATACTAGATTTTCATATACGTGTATATATAATTTTAACGTTGGTGAGGATTTCATTATCATATAATTGTTATCATCATCATCGTCATCGTTATCATCATCATCGTCATCATCGTCGTAGTCATCAACATCCTTCTTAACACAAAAATTTAAATCTCTTTCGAATGATAATAATTTATATAGCGCTACATTTTAATCGCCAGACTAAATTTTTCATACGGTGAGAAAATATTTATTGAACATTCGACGAATGGCAGTAGCGATTCATCAATGTTTGTATTGTTGTGTAATGCGTGTGTGTGTGCGTGTGCATGTGTGAGTGTGTGTGAGTGTGTTTTTTATGTGTGTGTGAGTGTGTTTTTTATGTGTGTGTGAGTGTGTTTTTTATGTGTGTGTGTGTTTTGTGTGAGTGTATTTGTGTGTGCGTGTGTTCGCATTGACAATGCTATGGTCTGGTGTTGTTGATGAAAGTGTTTTATTTGTTATTTTATTAATGTATTTATTTGTATATTTTCTTTTTTATTCTAGTATAAGCCTATGTGTGTGTGTATTTGTTTGTTTGTTTGTCTTGATATATCTTCATCCTTTTTTTATGTATATATATACATATATATGTATATTTATATATATGTATGTATATATATATATATATATACATACATACATAAAAAATGATGATAATATATCCTGTTATGTATAGTATATGTGAGACTTAAAATACTTAATACAAATATATATGGAACAGTTCTGTAAATTTAATTGCAAAAAAGTCGTTTAAAAATTTTATGAAGACAAACAAAAATTTCAAACAAATAATGAAAATAAAACTGGTTCGCGTTTAACCACCTAAACAAACTTAAACAACATACATACATTTGGAGAGACAAACATCCAACACTTCTTCTTTCTCGTGCATTACCCTTTCAGGGCATTGGCGACCATCGACCTCCACAAAAGCCGATCTTTACCACTTTGTAGTAGTTGAAATGTGGTGATACTCAACAAGTGGCAAAAAGGCTTCACGAATGTTTTACTATACGAAAAACATCGACACCCAACACACATACGTTGAAGTTGATAGACGCCATTCTACACGATGATCAACCAGCTTAAATGCATTGATAAAAAGATGCAAAGAATAAAAATTTTCCACCCAAAAATAAAAATAATAAAAATAATCACCATCAACCGCTTCATATTGGAAATTTTTCTCAGCAGGAATCCACTTTTCATCAATCAGATTTCACTTTGGCATGCCCGATTTTGTTTTTTTATTACTTCTTTGGTATTCTTATTCATATTTTTTTTGTTCACCTATTCTTTGTTTTCCATACATTGTTTCGTTTCACAGGCTCATTTTTCTGTTGTTTATCTTTGTTTTTTTTATTGTTTCTGTGTTGCGGTTGCGTGCTATTTTGTGTTTTTAGTTGTTGTAGTTGTAGTAGTTGTTTTTGTAGTTGCTGTTGTTGTTGTAGTAGTAGTAGTTGTTGCTGTTGTTTATTGTAGTAGTAGTAGTAGTTGTTGTTGTTGTTGTTGTTGTTGTTGTTGCTGTAGTAGTAGTAGTAGTAGTAGTAGTTGTTGTTGTTGTTGTTGTTTAAGTTGTTGTTGTTATTGTTGCCAATGTTTCGGTGGCGGGAGATAGGAAATTTGATTTTCGGATAATTTTTTCCTATTGTTAGTGAAGCGAGAATGATTATCGTTAAGGTAATCTTACTCTTCCTCTCGCCATATAACCTCATCATCATTATTATATCCTTGAAAATTACAAAAACGTTATCCTAATCGTCATTAACATCGTCATCATCATCTTCTTATCATTACCATTACAATCATCATCGTTATCATCTTCATTGTTACCACCACCATCGTCATCATCATCGTCATCATCATCGTCATCATCATCG